TACAATTCAACTGTTATCAGTAAAAGTCCATGTATATCATAGTTCTATGATCCAAAACTTCATTGCATTATCGTTGCAATGTGCACTGCAGAATAGCATAAAGATACAATTAATGAAATTCCTACGTAGATATGAAAAAGTTACTCATTGTAAAGAATAACGACATAATTTCTTTCAAAGAAAACACTTTAATTAGGGATTGTTCTCTAATTTCACCTCATTTGCATGTATACATTTAGGGGGAAATATGATGATCCCTTATCTTGGATAATCTTGCCAGACATTTCAATTTTGCAGCTTTTGAAGCCCCCTAGGTGCATTGCAAGAAATGGTTTCCCAATTACATCCCGAAGAGAGAGATGTTCCCATTAACCATAGACCTATTATTGAATGTATTTACTGCAATACCACACTCTGCAAACACTGATTTTTCAAACTCAAAATAAACCAAGACTCTCTCTGCTGCCTTAAAAATGTTTAGTACAATTCTGAAGAAATATTCCTTGACTGACAAGCCTGGAAGCTAGAGTATATACTGCACAAAAGAAAATGCAAAAAGTTTGATTTGGAAGAGACAAATCTTTCCATCAAGCTTCATGTAGAGGTGAAGTGTTTAAAAGAATTTTAAATGAACATATAAAAGTAATGAAAGTTTGGTCTGTTATTTTCACCTTTGAGTTTTAGTGCTCTTTTTTTTTTTAACCATAAACACTCTGTTAATTGATGACTGTTAGTGAAATCAAGAATGATTCTTCCTGGGAACCAAAAATAGATTCACTGGCAACAAATACTTAACAGATTTAGAGAAAAGTTCATAAATGGACCTCTTTGCTGAAACCTTTTTTCTTTAATATTTAAAGATCCAGTAACAAGTATTAAAGAATTAAAATAGACAATTAGCCAAAAATTCACCTCCCCCAGGAAGATGGTCCTGACTTAAACATGACCTCCCCACCCCATTCTTCAGCCCTTTTTCTTTCTTTTTTTGTGAGGCAATTGGGGTTAAGTGACTTGCCTAGAGTCACACAGCTAGTAAGTGTCAAGTGTCTGAGGCTGGATTTGAACTGAGGCCCTCCTGACTCCAAGGCCAGATGGCTATCCACTGTGCCACCTAGCTGCCCCAGCCCTTTTTCTTTAAGCACTTATGCATCTTTGTATATTAACTCCCAAATGCTGATATGTTTTTCCAAAAATGTGACCTTCAGTGACTTCTAATGGCACAGTGAGAAAACAGCACTGGACTAAGAAAAGTGAGACCTGAGTCCTAGTCCTGACTCTGCTGAATGATCTTGAATTATTTTTAAGCTCTCTGGTATTCAATTTTCTCTTCTGTAAAACTGGAGAAGGGGGGGGGAGAGAGAGAGAGAGAGAGAGAGAGAGAGAGAGAAGAGAGAGAGAGAGAGAGAGAGAGAGAGAGAGAGTGTATGTGTGTATGTATGTGTGTAAGTGAGGAACTGAAGGGAATTTTGACTAGACTTTGTATTTACTAACCACCAGTCCATAGAGAGGCATCTGTATAACACATTTTTTTTATGTTTCATAAAACTTTTACTGCCAAAGGCTTTTTCTTCTTAAAACTTAAATAAAAAAAAAAAAGCTGTTTCCTTTTTTTCTTTCTGGGTCCTGCTCTTCCATCTCCTTTCTCCTTATTTACAGGTTTAAGCTTTACTCAAGGGATAGCTTCTCCATAGGATGGTAGGTGTAGAACTGAAAGGGACCTCAAAAGCTATTCAGTCCACTCCCTTTATAGATAAGGAAACTGAGGCACAAAGAAGTAAGAGGCATGCCCACAGTTGATTACCACTCCACCCCCCTCGCCTCCCAAGGTCTATTCCTTCTGGTCTCTGTTTTCATCAAATGAGATACGATATGTTAAAGACTTAAGGCAAAGTGCCATACAAAAGACATTATTAATAAAAATATTATGCATTGTAGCTATCTATGCCAGCTTTCTATGCTCATATTAGACTTCCCTGCCATAAAGACAAGGAATGAATCTTACCTAAATTTTGCTCTTGTGGCAGTAGATACTTAATACTTAATAAACGTTTATTGTTGTTCTTAGTTGGTGATCAGTGGCCCAGGAACAGCAAAGAGGCAGTGGAAGCTGTGGAGGTCAGGAAAGCCCGAAGTAGAAAATTTAGGTATCATAACAGGTTGCAGTATAGTTTGGCCTTGGAGACCCTAAAGAAACTGATCTCTAGCAGAGCTTTAAAAAAATAGCTGTGCTTAGTCTAGAAGTACATTGTAAATTTCTTGAATGTGAGTTGAAATGATATCCTCCTTCTATCCATCTCTTTTCTTTACCTTTGCTTCTTGTGTACTAGGTCTGCACAAATACCCCTATTGTAAATGGCTTTGACTAAAGGCTGTTCTTATTGTATAATATGTGTATATCTTTTCTTTCTATGATCTTCTATTCTAGGAGGTCATACAAGAGCTCATAAATCATACATAGATAGGACACACCAACAGTCTTTGTAGATTCAATTTTAATTAATAGTATCTACCCAGAGAAGACACTTTCACACCTTTTTGATGTGATAATTGCATTTGTGAATCAATACAGCCTTCCACATATGAACTGGGAAAACTCACTGAGTAGTGATCTACAAAGCAGCTACTGTAGCTTTGAAATAGTATATGAGTTGTTCATCTTTCCAAACTTCATGGAAAAGGCAAGTTATCTCATTGAAGAAACAAATTACTAGGGAATGACGGAAGCATCACACAATCTCTCTTTCTTTGGCAGAATTGTAAGAGAGTAACAGTAAACATCTCCACTAAAAGTCAGTTTAGAATGTTGAGGAACCCCCACCATATCTCCTCTTATGTGGCCAAACCTATGTAGGCTCTTGCAGAGATAAGTAGTTACTCAGGTCTTGGATGAAGAAAAGAACCACATAAAATCTTACTTCATTGCAAATAGGACAGCAGACTGCCTGCAAAGTGTATACTTAGTTAATGCAATTAAAACAACAACGATATGCCTACGTGGGTAGGTATCTAAATTTGGCACAGCATGGTTGGTACAAGCCACATTCAGGGGATTATAAGAAGTCAAATTCGAGCAGAGGAGAGGAAGAAGTGGGAGAAATAGGAAGGGGGAAATGTTTGAAGATTGGATGGAAAGATGAGAAGAAAAGGTCCTGGAACAGACGTGAAAGCAGAGAAGAGGATGTAAGCAATAGAAGCCGGTTGGAAGGGCATATCTTCTTGCCCTTACTAGCTTTGGGTGAGGATCCAGCTACCCAGTTGCTTGGGAGCATGTCTGGGACTATCCTGAGGGACAACGAAGGCTCTCGGTTTAAGACAGGGCCTGATGATAGACTACGACGAGATTAGCTCACCCAGGAGAGGGGAGACCCAACTAAAGGCAGGTGTGTCAGCTTAGTCTGGGAAGGATGCAGGGCACGGGGAGAAGGGGGTACGTGCAACAGTAGCTCTTTGAGCTACCAAAACTAGGGATAATGAAGCTCTGCGGGAAACTGAGGTGAGAGGAACTGAGAGGTTAGGCTTTCTCAACCCCTCTTCCACCTATCTGTGGCTCGAAGAAGTGGTTCCTCTGATCGCTCTAGATGGGTTCAACTTGGCGATAGACGGCAGGGAAGGGGAAGGTCGAGGGGTGAAGGTCCCCTGGCCCTGCGCAAAAGAGCAAAGGAATGGCGGGTCTCCTTTGCCCTTCCTCCCTTTTTTCTGTAGCCCTGTGCTGGGATGGAACCTCGGATAGCCAGCAAAGCTTTTAGAGGAAGAATGTTCTGTTCCGGCAGCACCCTCCGTCTCCCATTTCCTAATCCTCTCTGGACATTCCCCAAGATTGCTCCTATCTATTTCTCATTCCCGCCCTTAGGGTCTCCGCACCGCTCTAATCTCCAGCAGTGCCTCTCCATCAGAATACTACTCTCTCCTCAAAGCAGGCGCTAGCTGTCCCCCACCTTCGGAAGTGCCTACCATCCCGCCCCCCCCATCCGCCTTCTCCACTCTGCTGCCGCTGGACTCGGGGTAGTAGGGGATCAGGGGTGTCTCTTGGTTTCTTCCCTGCTTCCTGGACTCTGCAGGGGACTGTAGGGCGCAGACAGAATAGCGCAGTCTAGGAAAGCGCAAGACAACTCCAGGTGCAGAAGTGTGTGTGTGGGGGGGTCACTGGACTTGGGATAGACCTCTTCCCAGTTCCCAAGTCTGACCCTCTCCAACCCTCCTTACTGCGCCTGCAGCCTCCTGTAGTTCGTTGTTCTGACCCAGCATCTCCTTTTGCTTCTCACGAGGGTGAAGACATTACTGGCGCTCCCAATTCTGCAGCTCCCAGAGAGACTAGGGCCAGTTCTGCAGGTTCGGGTCTATGCTATATCTCTCTTGACCTCTTATACGGTCCATCTCCCATGGAGAAGGCGAGTCTTCTCTAGTCAGAGAGGTCCTGAACTGGAGACGTGCCAGGCTTTCCAATGCTAGGAAATAAAGTGGCTTCTCCCGTCGCAGGCAGATTAAGAAGCTCTCTGTTCTTTCCTTCCAGTCTTTCTCTCTTCTCCCGGGGCTCTACGCTGCCCCCGACTCGCTCCCCCGCTTGCCATCCTTCCATATTCTCCCTAGTCCTACCCTGCTCCAGCTCCATCCTTCCCCTCCTACCACTCTCGCCTCCTCAGCCTGCGTGCCCTCCTCCCTCCCTCTTTCCTCCCCGTCACTCCTCCTCTCTTCACACACACACACACACACACTCCTCCTTCCTCTTTCTCTCCCTCCCTTCATTCCACAAGTGTCGCTTCCCTTTCACTCGCGCACTTGGGTAGCTGGAGAGGTGAGAAGGACCCGGCGAACGAGTGCAAGGAGACTAAAGAATAGAGGGAGGGGGACCGCAGGGACATCGGACAGAAGGGGCCGTAGGACAGACTGACATTCTCAACCATCCTCAGCCCCAAACACCTGCTACTGAACTGACCGTCTTCCCCTCTCCCCCCCTTCCCCCTCCCCACACCTCCACCTCCCCCCTCAGACCCTACGCGCAACGCCGCGCCCAGCCCCTTGTGGCCGCGCGCTGGAACCAAGCGCCGCCGGCTGAGAGCGCAGTGGCCGCGGACAGAGCGCCCCGCGCCGCCCCCTGCATGTGCGGCTCCTGGCGGCACGCAGCCCCCGGCAGCCTCGGCAGCTTCAGCAGCTCCAGCGGCGGCGGCTCCGGTGGTGGCGGCAGCGGCTCCGGCGGCTGCAGAGCGGCGGAGCACAGGCTGGGAGACACAATGCGCCGTGTCCTTCGCTTGCTCCTCGGCTGTTGCCTGACCGAGCTGTGCGCCCGCGTGTGCCGGGCGCAGGAGCGAGCAGGGCAGGGGCAGCTCCACCAGCAGCAGCAGCAACAGCAGCATCAACACCTGGACAACGTGGTGGTTCTGTCCGGGGGTAACCGCTCGGGAGCCGGGGAGCCTGGGGAAGCCGCCGGAGCTTCCGAGGCGGCCCCAACCAAAGCCCCTACGCCAGACTCCTGCAGAGGCTACTTCGATGTCATGGGACAGTGGGACCCTCCGTTTAACTGCAGCTCTGGGGACTTCATCTTCTGCTGCGGCACTTGTGGCTTTCGGTTTTGCTGCACGTTCAAGAAGAGGCGCCTGAACCAGAGCACCTGCACCAACTACGACACGCCACTCTGGCTCAACACTGGCAAGCCCCCGGCCCGCAAGGACGACCCCCTACATGACCCAACCAAGGACAAGACTAACCTTATTGTCTACATCATTTGCGGGGTGTGGCTGTCATGGTGCTGGTGGGCATTTTCACCAAGCTGGGGCTAGAGAAGGCTCACCGACCCCAGCGGGAGCACATGTCCAGGTGGGTTCCCCCTTCTTTCCCATTCCACCTCCGTTTTCCCCTCCCCCTGGCAACGCCTTTCCAGCCTCCCTCCTCACTCTCTTCTAGGAGCCGAGCTGGGGAAGCCAACTTTGGACTGGGGAGTGCAGGGAACTGACACTTTTCTCAGCGCAGGTGGGGGAGGTTCTTTATTCCCCATCTTGTCACACTCCTTCTTCACCCGCAGAGGGGTGTGTGTGTGTGTGTGTGTGTGTGTGTGTGTGTGTGTGTGTGTGTGTGTGTGAGATGGGGGGGAGTCCAGAGGAGGTGTGCATTTGTGTGGCAGAGACACTGAGCCGTCCCGTCCCCCTTCGAGTTCTGGGATTCAGGACCACGTTCTCCAATTGATGTGGGCTTCTTATGTAGCCTTAGATAAACAGCGCTAGATTAGGCGCAAAGCAAGGAGGGTTGCAAGGGGAAGGGGGTGAGGGTGTGTGTGTGTGTGTGTGTGTGTGTGTGTGTGTGTGTGCGCGCGCGCGCGTGTGTGTGTGCAAGCGTGTGTGCTTGAACCTCATCTGACTTGGGAAAATAAGGCGAAGGAGGCGTTGGGTGTGGGAAGAGAACAAAAGCCTTTGGGAAACCGATCGGTTTTCCAAAGCAACTGCGGATTCTCCCGGAGAGGACTACAGTTCACCCGAGACAAGAACCTATTGTTCCCCCTCCTCCCCTCAACCCCCGCCCCCTTTCTTTTTCTTTTCTCTCGATTTCGAAGCTGGGAAGCTCTGGTCACAGCACGGAGTAAGCAGCGAGAGTAGTGCTCAACGCTGCTGGAGCTGAGCTGGGTGCCCTGCGCCAGAGCAATCAAGAAGTGCCGCTGCTAAGCCCCCTCCCCAAGAACTCGACCCTCACAGAGCCCCTTCCTTCAAGACATTAGCCAGTTGTCAAGTTTTCAGTCTGTCTCATTCATTTTGCAAATCCCAGGCAAGGGGAAGTTGGAGCAGATGGAAGAAGACATTGGAGGATTACTGGAGCTATTTTTCTTTTATATATACATCTGCATCTATATATAATAAACAAGAGAGTTTAAATTGATCCCTACGTCTCGGTAACTTTTGAGAGCTGACACAGTGACAAGGACGCCTTCTACTGGGGGATCAGCAATGGGTGGCGTGGGCTTCCGAAGGGGCTCTATCCCGGGTGCGGTAGAGGCTAGATTGCGGCTGGGAAACAGCTGAATGACCGGCGCCTGAGAGCTTTCCCCTGCTCCTGGAACTGAAACCGAGAGATGAAGTCCTCTCGTGCTTCCCTCCCCGTTCCCCCCACCCCGCCCCAATTCGGGGTCGTGTGTGTGTGTGTGTGTGTGTGTGTGTGTGTGTGTATCTGTGTGTGGCTGTGCTGTTTTGCCTCTCCTGAACAAAGAGACCCACCAAAAATAGGCGAAGGAATGCATCACCAGTTCACTAGCAATTACTTTCTATTTATACACAAGGGGATCAGATTAATTTTTCCTGGGAGGGAGGGGTTTTGGAGGAAGAAGTGTGTGTGTGTGTGTGTGTGTGTGTGTGTGTGTGTGTGTGTGTGTGAATGTTTGTGTGAGTTTGTATGTTGGGGGGGTGGATTCTACTGGGTGTCTGCAGGCTTCCTTGCGTGCATGGAGGGACTCTGAAAGAAAGATTGGTTAGTAGTATATAAAAATAATTCTCCAGAGGTTTCAAGAAGCCCTGACCTACTAAACAAATAAAAAAAAAAAAAGCAAGCCCCACAGACACACTCAAACCACAGAACAACCCTCTAGTCCATAGAGTATCACAGTATTTCCCCTTAACCTTGATCAATTACTTTCCTCTCTGGCACTTGCTTACTAACATTAATTTCCTGCATCTTTGTTTTCGTTAAGACAACTAGTACAGAGAGTCTGGTATAGATTGGCTTTGGATGTTTCTCTAAAACTAAATGATTCATAGAATCATAGAATGTCATAGCTGTAAAGGTCCTTTTGGAGACCCTTTTTACCCCCCTCCCCCATTTTACCAAGGAAGAAACAGGCCTAGAAATAAAGTGTCATGGCCAAGGTCACACTATGAGTGAATGGTAATACTAGACTAGGACCCAGTCTCTTGAATCCCATGCCACTATACCATTATAAAGGGATAGATAAACGATATAGTTCTGCTACTTGCTTGAAATCTCAAGCTTTTTCCTGAGGAAACCAACTTCCATGGCTCTTAAACAAGCTTTGTTCATATTTGTGGGTATTGAAGGCCAAATATTTCCAAATATCTCCTAAAATAATATACTTATTCTAAAGTGGAGTGTGTATTTCAGGGAAATCTTTAACTTGGCTGTTCTAAAAGTAGAGGAATTTTCTTTTACTGTACTAATATGATTTTCCAATTATATCAGAGTTACAATGGCAAACTCATTATGACTATATTTTCCTTCTTCCCCTACTTGAAAAACAAGATTTGGCCAACCTTTTTTTCCCTTCCCCAAGGATCTCAATTCCAGAGGGCATGGTGGGGGGGGAGGGGAATAGGGACTTTAATGTGCAAATGTCCTTCAAATCCTAAAGAAAATACCTTATGGTCCTTATTAGGCTATAGCTGAAAACCCTGTCCTTGGGGGTAGTTCAAGAAAAGTTGCATATCTTGGAACACTTTTACAAGGCATAGAATGTTTAATCAGAAAAGGTGAGCAGTAGCCAAGATAGTTCTTCCATTCATTTGAAGTATTTTACATTGACTTTCTGTGTATGACCTTTATGCTTACTTTCATAATGCTGAAGCAGTGCTGAACAGGATAGCTCCAAGTTTACTGTGCTCTGTTCACTAATCTCTTGTGCTGCTCACAATTTCAGTTCCTGACAATGACAATTTACTAACTGGTGTCCATCTGAAGATACTTAGGGAATTGCTGGGCCTGGCCTGAAACACCAAACTTAGTTGCAGGAACCCTTGCATAAGGCTGCCTCTGTGTAAAATTAATTCGATGGTCCCAGCCCTGTTAATTGGTTTTGTCTGGGACAGAGGGACACAGAGATTGAATTAGTTCTCATCTCATCTGAAAGCATCTCCTCTTCAGGGAGAGGTTGAAAACCTGACTGAAAAAGGAGAACAGTGTTGATTCAGCTTTTAAACTTTGCCTGTGGTAAACAACATGCTTCAATCTTCTTCTGAAGGGCCTTGAGCACCCACATTTTTCCAGGGAAAATGATATAGACGCTGTTTGCACATAACAAAGCCAGTGGCTGTGAAAATTATGGTGGTGTGCAGTGCATTTCCCCTCTGTGCTGTATAAAAGTAATAAAAGAACAACTGCACCAGAGGCTTTGAGGACCCTAACATTTGCTGAATAACATTAATTTCCTGAGTCCCAGAGAAGTTAATGGATTCCTTCTAAGTAACACAGTAAGTTAGAGTCAGAGCCAAGAACTGGAATTGGTGGCATTATGATTCAACTAATTTAATGGAAAGCAGTGGAAAGTGGATGGTGGAAAGTGAATAGGGGGAAGAGGACTGACTAATGTAGGAATCTGTAAACTTGAGCTCTAATCTAGAATAGATTAAGAGCAGGTAGGAACCTCAGTCAACACTGCCACAAAGATCCTTTCAATGATAGCCATTATTTACTATGTAATTTGTAATGAATAAAATTATGGGACCTCACAAACCTGAAGAGCCCTGAAGCAACTGGCCCTTTTGCCATTATATAAATCTATTTTTGTCTCTGCCTTGCTTTATTTTTCTCAGTTTTAGCCTCTTCATCTGTAAAACCAGAGAGTTGGATTAAATGATCTCTAAGGCCCCTTCAATTCTATCACTCCAAGTCCTACATCTGGTTTGGGTGCTGACAATAATATTGGGCTGAAGGGGACTGCCTGACCCACTTTGAGCTGTAAATTAAGCCATCAGTGAAAGTAGAAAAGCATTCCCACAGATACTCATGTTTAATCTAAAGTCTTTTCAATCTTTGACAAAGGAAATGTGGAATTCCCAGCCCACCCGTGCCCTGAATAAATGCTTCTTTTGCTCTGCACTAGTCTCTGCATATGAAGGTGGGTTCAAAGATCCACGGAATGATCAAAGCCTCTAATGTTTTCTGTACTTGCCCCAAGCAGGACTGGACTTTATTCTAGAGGCATCCATTATAAGTGACCTTTGGGGGAATAACATGTGTTGAAGGTTCTTTAGACTTGTAGCCAGTAGGGAGCATGTGTCATTGTTTTGCAAACCTTCAAACAGAATCAGAAATCCAAGTGGCAAAGTAAATAGCACTGTGTCCTGGGTATTTTTTTAAACACTCTTCAGAGGAGCTGGAGTCCCTAGACTTATGGAGAAATGGAAACAAATCATTAATGTGATTTTTTTTTTACTTGACCTTCTTCTCTCTTTTTCAATTTCTTTTTCCACAACCTTCCCCCTCCTTTTCCTTTTTTCATAAAGACATGGAATTTAATCTCATGATCTCTTCTCTCTTTCCAAGCCCAGGAATCCCATACATAAAATGATGGGCACTGGAGAATGTCAAGGTTGTTTTCCTTGCAGAATACCTCAAATACCTATTAGCTTTAGGTTTAGTCACTGATATTTCATATTTTGAGAAAAAAAAATCCAGTTCTTGTTATGAGCAAGAAAATGCCCATAAATCTTTCTTGTGTCAAAAAGTTAATGCATCTTCATATCATAGCAACTAATATTGGGAAGTACAGAACCACAGCGGGGAGAAAAGTCTTAATTAAAGAAGTCTGTTACTTACCCATAGTAACCCACTGAAAAAAAAATGGAAATCTTACTCTATGCATCTTTGACAAAGGAAAAAGGGAGTACTGTCTACACATACCTTTACAAAATCTCTACATGAATAAGCAGATGTTCAGCATAGAGTTCTTAGTTCATGGCATTTGTTACTAAAGCATCACATTAAGTATTTGGATTCTTTCTGGTTTCAGTGGGAGCATTGTTTCTAAGAGCACATATGCATCTCATGTTACCTAGATTAAGGCAAGTTCCTCTAGGAAAAGTTTCTTTTACTTTTATGTTGCTTTTTATAGGTATTTTAGAGCTGAGGCTAGGTGATTTCTAGAATCCAAGTTTTATAAGTGCCTGATTACTATCCCTATTACATATTTATTTACCTCTTCAAAGTCCTGAAAATCTAGAGAGGAAATAGTTTTGGAGATTGTCTTTTCACTTGTTTTCACCTTTGAAACTCACTGCAAAAGTACCTGTGTTACAATGTTTACGGAAAATTTGATAACTAACTAGAATTTGTAACACTTTATTTCAGCTGAATATGGCCTCATGTCTTATGCAGACATGGGTAACCAGTGTGGCATAGATCTTCTTCCACATCTTTAGCCACTTTTGTTGGACCAATTGTGGCTCTTTTGTCTCCATGCTGTTCTTTTATTACCCTCCATGGCAACTCTGTACTTACGGGGAAGTGGTGTTCAGAGCTATAAAATATTTTGCCAGATGACTAGGCTCTGTAGTTTTATGGATAGGTTGATTTTGTTTATTTTGCTTACTTTCTCTGTCTCATTTTTATCATTTGTACATCAAAAAAGATTCTTAAAGGTGGGTGCAACCTTGTTAGCTCAATTGGTTAGATAGAGGCCAAGGTGATACATTTCATCCCCGTTTGGACCAGTTTTTTTTTGTTTTTGTTTTTTTGCTTTTTGGTGAGGCAATTGGGGTTAAATGACTTGTCCAGGGTCACACAGCTTGACACTTGACACTGTCAAGTGTCTGAGGTCAGATTTGAACTCAGGTCCTCCTAAGCTCTATCCACTGCACCACCTAGCTGCCCTTAGTTTAGCTCTTTTCCAAGGTCATAGTTTGCTCATACCTCTTAGCACTGGCCTTGAACGCATATATGGTTGGTCATAATGAGGCATGAGGGACAGCAAGCAGGAGAACATGGATAGAATAACAGAAATCTATCACCACTAAGAGAAGTATATGTTATAATGTATTGTGAATCATTGTCATGTGTGAAATTTCAGTGGCTAATATTTTTTAAGCACAGTAGAAGCCAACTCCCAAATATCTTGGGGGAAAAAAAGTTTTCTCCAATGCAAATTCAACCTTCAAAGAACAACTTGCAAATATATATTTTTTCTAAGTATCTATGGAAAGCTTGTGGGATGGTTGATGTCCTAAATGGCAATTGTAAATATGCAGAGTAGGAGATATTTGATATTAATAATAAGCTTGATTTGAATCCTCTCCTGTTATGTACTTCTATACTTAGGTTCTATGATTATATAGGAGAATATAGATTACTCGTATTCCCATCATTCTAATGGAATATCTCTTCATTAGCTTCATGTCATACTTTTTTCCTAGTTCTGCATATCTTCTTCCCATTCCATTTTTGTTGTTTTTTGGTTTTTTTTGGCTAGGCAATGGGGTTAAGTGACTTTCCCAGGGTCACACAGCTAGTAAGTGTTATGTGACTGAGGCCGGATTTGAACTCAGGTTCTCCTGAATCCAGGGCTGGTTCTCTATCCACTGTAACACCTAGCTGCCCCGTTCCCATGCCATTTTGTGAATTTCCCAGGACCATTTTGCCTATTGCCTATTTCTGACTCTGGTTGATATAACCTGACAGGCTGATCCACTGGGTCCATGGAACACTGAAAGGGAATTTGATAAAGCAAAGCCCTCTTTAGTGCTTCATGTTTTGTTTGTCTGAATTTTGTCATTGTTCATTCAATACTGACTAATAAACATCTATCTATACCTGACTTCTTTACCTTTGCCCAGTCATTTGACAGCTTCTGCCAATTATGCTGAACGTAACAGACTCATGCAATGCTACAAGCTTAGTCTGCTTTCAGACAATCTGGTTTTTTGACATTGTTTCCAAGAATGCATAGAATCTAAAGAAAGCTCTTTTGTGGCCTAACATCAAGAACTGCCTATGGCATTCCTAGAAGACTGTTGAAATAACAATAGAAACCCCTAGGTGGTAATGCATAGTGCACCTATGTTGTCCAGGGCAAGATACTACTCCTAATGTGAACCTCTCTACACAGCACCAGGCTGGCATAGATGGGTTTCAGAATATATTCCTTCTATAGGGTGCTTATGTAAACATACACACACGCAATGCAACATTGAATGTCACTTTGTGATATCTCACAATATAGCACATGGTAACTAGTCAGGAAATTCCAGCCTTAGTGGTAGAAGGAAAACTGAAATATATTCCCTTGATTATCATTTGTGAATTAACAACCCATTTTCCATCTCTGTAAAGCTAGTATTTGGCATGAAAATTAGTTTGAGACCCTGAACAGCAGAGTATATTGCACTTATACCTAAGACTATGACAGTGTTCCTTTTTGTTGGATGGAACTGTGGGGGAGTTGAGTAATGATGATGTTGAGGATAATGATAATGATAACCACATTTCGCATTTGTAGAGTACTTTAAAAGTCATAATGGCATAGTGGATAGTAGTCAGGCCTTTGAAGTGAGGTTGTCCTATCTCAGACACATACTAGTTGTGTGAACATGAGCAAGTCACTTATCCACTCAGTGCTCTCAGCAATCCTATGCTGACTAGAGTTATGGATAAGTCACAATCTGTATTACTGAAGAGAGTTTTCACAGAAGAGGTTCATAAACTGATAACTGTATACATATATGTAGATATACACATATATGTCTGGCATATATGTTCTGCATTATGTAAAATGTTTTAGAAGAGAAGGATGTGTAATATCTACTATACCTAGTAGAAGGTAATTTTTTTTGGGGGGGAACATTGATTATATCTGTGTTCTTCATTTTTCTCAGGGCTCTTGCTGATGTTATGAGACCACAGGGCCACTGTACAACAGACCACATGGAAAGAGACCTTAACATTGTCGTTCATGTCCAGCATTATGAAAACATGGATACGAGAGCTCCTGTAAATAATTTACGTAAGTACAGCTGGTACAATCTACTTTAGGTCAAGCAATGTAATATGTAGCAACTGCTTTCAAAGATCACAAATTACATAGTTGAGTCGGAAAAGGTTTTCCTATGTTGGATTAGGCAACCAGTGCTGCTCATAGTTAAAGCAGAGGGCATATACAAAGTTGAGTTTGGAGTGATTGTGTTTTGTTAGAGGTTCCTTGTTTCATGACTTTATTTCCCTGAGTGAATCAGGTTATTTCTTCTTTAAAGTTTTTATGGTAGTGGTCAGTTAACAGATAGTGTCATGATTAAGGAGGGATTTTAGATTCTTTATAGAACATTGCACTTCCTAAAAAAAGTTAAATACTATGATTTTTAAGTGGTGGTAGTCGCAGGTAATGAATCATCCAAAGTGAATTTGATTGCTCTCTCAAGCCAAAGCAGTTACGTTTGGTTTCGTGTTGCCATTATTGTTCTGTAGCTGAGCAAAACTACTTGTAATCTTGGAAAGTTCCAAAGATGCTTTCTATTCTCTATCTATCTAACAAATACTATTGACTAGAGACATTGACTAATGGGAGCTGAGGAAAAACAAGATTGCTTAGCTTTTGACAATATTGTACTATTGTGGTTATTCATAGCTATTCTGTTTTCAAGTAACCCCTGCATAAAGTAATGCTCAAGGGTTGGTTTAAAATACTAAAAACCAGATAACACAAGAGATGCATTTAACTGTGTCTCTGGGTTCAGAAATACTGAAACCAAGTAAAAGTTTAACATATTCCATAATCTCTGTTCCTTTAACTGAAACTTAGCTTCATAATTGTGTGGAATTCCATTAGCTGCATTGCAGTTTTAATGATTTCTGGGTTTGAGCTAGTTGGGTATAAATACCCACTATACCCACTATAAAAAATTTTTAAAAAATCTTTTAGCTATAATGTTTAATAGGCAGAAGAAAAAGTTGGTGGGGATAAGTGAATAAGTAATGTAAACTCATTAATTATACATTGTAAAGATTTTTCATTGCCACATAGTCTGTCCTAATTTTGGAAACCCTTGCCATATATTATGGAAATAAACATTCATGCAGTTTTTGAAATGGGTTAACAAGTAGAACGAATGAATAGTTTAGATTTCATTACAATCAATCATGTAGACCTAATTTACAGGCTGGACTGTACATAGATGTGAGTAAGCAGTAGATATTTTTCAGGGTAAAGCATCTTGGTTGAAAGTTTTGTGAAAAGCACGGTAAATTTGAACTACTCTGGCAACACAATTGTGTTGGATTCTGTCTTTAATAGAAATGAAAACATTCTCCTTCAGATCTTTTTTCATCAGGAAATAAGTTGAACCAAGATTTATAGGAGTGTTATATGTTGTGATTGATTGTGCTACGTGGATAAAAGAGATAAAATGGTATTGAGTCTACAGCTATAAAAAGTGATTATTAACAGGTTTCTCATTTTAAGTTACAACCTTCAGGATTATTTCAAATAGGGGCTTAAACAGACATACAAACTTATTGAAGTCACTTGAGTTTCATTGTTCTATGAGGCAAAAGGGGAGAGAATATTAATATTTCTTGTTTAAATAAAGTATTTTCTTTTAAAGTTTTACTAATGGCAAATTTGGTGATGTAGAAGAGGGGAAAAAAGATTCTTTGAGAAATCTACCAGAGGCTATGGCAGCTTCTTTGAATGTACCTTCTATATTTGGGTACCTGATAGCCTTTTAGAGCAAGGATTCCACTTTAGTCTAGGCATGGACTATTCCAGAGAACAATTGGACATTTATGTGCTAACCTTTTGATTGGACTGCCCTCTTCTAGAGTATGTGAAGGAATGATTGGGATTCACTACCTCTAGAAACTCTGCTTAGTGGGTTGGCATTCTGGAAATTTTCCTGGTCTGTTTAGGAGAGATTGTCCTGCTTTGGTACAAGGACATTGAAAAAGGCTCAGTTGTGCCCCTGTAATATGTATATTCTTCTTCAGAGAACCAATAGATCTGATCCCATTTTTACAAAACCTTATTTTTATTGCTCTGTTTTTTAGAACACATTTATTTCTGAATATATCCCTTCTTATCCCTTACCCATCAAGCTGTCTCATAACAAAAAATTAAAAAAAGGAAGAGAAAATAGTAGTTCAACAAACCAACTCATGTATCAACTGTGTTTGAAAGTATATGCTGTACATACACCCATAATCTCCCATCTTTGCAAAGAAGGAATGGAAATAGATTTTTCTCGATTATTCTCTGGGGCCTAACTTTGATCCCACTGTATTAAAAACCACCATTTTTGCTATGATCCCCTCACATGTTAGGCAGAAGACTTTTTAACAGGCATTTGTGTAGCACCAAGGTCAATTTTTTGAGAAATTATTTCCAAATTTCATGTTCCTACATCTGGCTAGAGGCTCTATGGTTATCATTTGTATATCATGTTTGGCCTTTGTCAGTCATCTATTCTATATTTCTATTTGTTTTTGTTGTTCAGTTATTTTCAGTTGTGTCCCACTCTTTGTGACCTCTTTTGGGATTTTCTTGGCAAATATTAGAGAAATTTGAAATTTCCTTCTCCAGCTCATTTAACAGATGAGGAAACTGAGACAAACAGGGTTAAGTGACTTGCCCAGGAGCACACAGCTAGTGAGAGTCTGAGGCCAGACTGGAACTAAAAAAAGTGAGTCTTAGTGTGCAAAAATTCTCTAGCTATTCATTTTTCCTTTTCTCCCTCTCAATCACTGATATTAGATCACTTCCTAGGCTTTTCCTTATGCTTTTCTGCAAAATGTTAGAGAGTATGAATCAGTGCAGAATCCCGAGTATATGTATGAACTGCAGGGAGAGGGTGTGTTGGTGAGGAAAGTAATAATAACAATAACAAATAGCAATTGCTAAGATTTATATAGCACTTTAAGTTTTGCAAAGACCTTTACATGTGTTATCTTATTTGATCCTTACCACAACCCTGTGAGGGAGGTATTAGCATCTCTTTTAAAGATGAGGAAACTGATTATTAGAAAGGTTTAGTGACTTGCCTAGAGTCATGTAGCTAGTGAGGGTCTGAGGCAGTAATAATTGATCTCAGGTCTTCCTGATTCCAAGTTCTGTACCCTACCACTGCACTCCCTAGATGCTAATAACAAGTGAGAAGGAGATATTGTCATTTGGGGGTAGATGTCTGTGAAGCCTTTCAATGTAATATATCATGCTATGTTGTTCCTGATATATGAAACTTGAGATTTTCAGCTCAAGGTGGATTACTCTTCAGCTGATGCTTATTATATTCCTGTAAGACATTCATTGATATTGCTTAAAAATATTTAATCTGATCATTCAAAGGTCCATGACCTCTCTGATTTGGATATAGACACAGATAAGATGGTTGGTTTTTTTCCACAAAATCTTCCTCTCTTCTGCCCACCCTCCAAACTACTGTGTAATATTAGTAAGCACTTAGAGAGATGCATTGTCTTCAGATATTTTTTATATGCTCTACCCTTCAAAATAAATCTTTGGGATCAGGGCAGCTAAAGCCTCTTGCAGACACTTTCATGCCAGAGTAAGGGAACACTGAATGAACAATTAAGAATGAGATCTGTGTCATGATGATTATAATAATATTGTTGTTATTCAGTTGTTTTTCAGTCATGTCTGAGTCTTTGTGACCCCATTTGTGGTTTTCTTGGCAGAGATACTAGATTAGTTGGCTATTTCCTTCTCTAGCTCATTTTACAGATGAGGAAAGTGAGGCAAATGTGGTTAGGTGACTAGCCCAAGGTCACATAGCTAGTAAGTGTCTGAGGCAGGATTTGAACTGGGGTCTTCCTGACTTCAGGCTTAGCACTCTATCCACTGTGCCACTTAGCTGTCCCAATAGTAATATATTAGCAAGTGATTACATAGCATTTTGGGGCAGCTAGATAGCTCAGTGGTAGAGTCCTCAGCCTGGAGTCAAGAAGACCTGAGTTCAAATCCAGCCTCAGATTCTTACTAGGTATCTGACCTTGGGCAAGTCACCTAATCCTATTTGCCTCACTTTCCTCATCTGTAAAAGGAACTAGAGAAGGAAATAACAAATTACTCAAGTATCTTTGTCAAGAAAACCCTAAATGGAGTCAAGAAAAGTCAGATAAGCCTTAATGAGATAACATTTTAAGGTTCATATTTTACATAGGTTATCTCATTTAATCTTCACTGTGTGAAGTAGGTGCTGTTATTATCCTCATTTTACAGATAGGAAACTGAGGCTCAGAGGCTTTCCAAAGATCACATAGCTAGTAAGTGTCTGAGGCAAGGTTTTAATTTAGATCTTTCTGATTTCAGGTCCAATGTTCTATCCACTATCTTACCTAGTTGCCTCATAGCCAGAAATACTCTCAGGTAAAGGATAGATGGTGAAGGAGACATTAGTTTCAGGGGTTAGGCTAGGAAGATGAACACAATATTTATGAAGAACTGTATCCCTAAGGCACATCCTTGGTCTCATACTGAGGCAACATGATGCAGTGGAATGAGTGAAGGATTTGGAGTTTCAGGTCCTGGTTTTGAATCCTGCCTCTACCACTTACTATATATGTGGCTTTAAGCAAGTTGAAACCTCTCTGAATTTCATCTTCCTCATTTGTAAACTGAGAAATTTAGTGATATTTTTTTCCATCTTTAATTGTATGACATGACTGCTAAGTCACATTTTGCCAGATGTAAGCCAGACCCAAAAGAAAGCTTGTAAAGAAACTTATCTCTCTTTTTGATTTCCAAAAGGAGGTGGCAATAGGATATACAAGTGAATTGGATTTTGATTCAACTGAAGTATTGTTTACTGAGCAAACACAGAGTATATGACACACTAGGTCTTTGGTATTCCTTGGAGGGAGTTCTCAAAACTTCCTAAGAAGAATTTAGCATCTAGGTCAGGTCATAAAGTCAGCTAGGTGGCAGAGAGTGTTGGACAGAGTAGGTAGTGTTGAGCTTGGAAGTCAAACCTGTTGCAGACATTTACTAGCAGCGTG